CGGGGAACTCGCGTCCTGACCGCGCCCCGGCGCCGGGCCGGCCCCTCCCGCCCGCCTGCCTGCCTTTGCTCTCCTGAGGGGGCGGTGGCGGGGCCGGGCTGGGCGAGGCGGGGGCTGAGGGTGGGTCAGCCCGGCCTGGGCGGGGGGCGCCGGGGCCCCTCAGCGCTGGGCTGGTGCTCCACACGCCGTGGGGTGTATTCCCACAGAGCATACCTTCGTTATGTATTTTATTATWATGTTACTATTATTTCGGAGCCTTCTGTCAAATACCGAAATGCCTGTAGGGGTTACGCTTGGAGGAAATTTTCGTTTAATTTGGGTTTTGTGGTTTGTTCCCTTGGAGTTGCASGAAGAGGTTGTGAATGGAAAAAATAAGAATAAACCAAGTGGTTGTGGATGGTTGTGGTTGTGGTTGTGGTTGTCAACAGGGTTAGTTATTACCATGGCATTTTCCAAAACATGAGTAATGACGTTCGTGTATCTGCTGTGAGAGTAGCTTGTTAATTGGTATAGAATAGCGGTATTTTTTGCTGCAGATGGTTGCTTTGACCATTTTTATATGAAAAATATAAAGAAACWAAACTTTGGAATATTTATCTTATGCACAGTGTAACTTGAAGTTAAGTGGATCTTGWACTGCTTGAATAAATAGACATTGTCAATATAGTTTTCTGTTGTGCTTTGTATTTTGGGCTCACTTAAATGCGTAGTGGTTCTTTCAAGTTAGTTCAGTGTTCTAAAACTTGCTTTCCATTACAGGGGTTGTTTTGAGTTAAAGTTGCTCAGGGACCATCATTGCAAGGTCTTCGTCATTAAACAAAATTAATTTTGATATAAGTTAGTATCTGATTCCTACTCAAAGTGAGGTGCTGGAGGAGAGATGAAGGTGCTGAGCAGAAATTTAGGAGCTCTTTACTGTTTTCATTGTACATTCTTTGTGGAATGTCATTACCTGAGTAATGACAATATAATTTTTGAAATAATTTTGAGCTAAAGGATTAACAGCTCTCATGGGATGAACTTGTGGTGGAATAATTATTGAGTGGGATATGCTGCATGTCTTGCTTATAACACATCCAAAATGTGGCTGAGAATGAAGGAAATGAGACATCTAATGTTTTGAGCTAATTTAACTGGTTGCATAACTCTGCAAAAACTAGCTAGACAAGTTGTAGGTGTTAATATTTTGAGATGCTTTTAATGTCCACTAAAGGAGACAGGATTGTTTTGTCTTAAGTTACTTTTAATTATGTGAAATTAATGTAAAGTGGCTTTAGAAATGATGCTGGGTTTATTGCAATTGGAGTGGGAACCCTAGTGTGTCTTGCCCTAATGTAGGTAGACAAGTGACATCAGTAATGCACAACAGACCTGAATTTTTAACAACGAATCATATTTTTTCTTCACTTCTAATACTAAGGATCTCTGCTTTTAAAGCCTTCTTTACTGCCACGAATTTCCTTTGATGGCAAAGTCCATGCAAGTGTCCACTACAAGGGTAGGCAGAAGGTCTTTAGGTGACCATGTATCTGTTAAAGTTTAGTTGTTGCAGGAACTGCAGCATCATGTGCAGCCCTCTGCTTGCAGAGTAGTTGGGTTTTGGGAGGTGAGGGTGGCAGCCTGGCAGGATCCTGCTCTGCTTCCAGCTGTGTGAGTTGAAACTCCTAATTATGTTCCCATTTGGTGCAGCATCCAATGGGTGGTTTGTTAAGAACTTGGCAAAGCTGCTTTTTTTCTAGTATACTGCAGCTCTCTCTGATTATTTCTCTGAGCCCCTCTTTATGGTAAGAAGGAAACACATCTTTTCAACCCTCCCTTTTTTGGCATCCTTTTGAAAGCAATAAACAGCTACTATGCTATTTCCTGTTAATCATAATACAAAGACAGAAAAAGAAGCTGCAGTAAACACCCCCATAACATACATTGAGGTTTGTGATTCATTTCAGTTTTAAAGATGACAGTTTGTGCTCTGCAATGGAGGCAAGTCTCATAAGACTGAGGAGGATCATTTGAGGTGCTAAAATAGGTAGTTTCTTCCCTTGGTTATTGCTGTGTTGTGTGAGGTATTGCTGTTGAAAGGATTTTGTCCTGTATCCTTTCCCTCTCTCCCCAAACAAAACATTTCATCAGGTTTTTTTTTTGCCAAGAGCAGGTTTTGCTCAATGTCCAGGGTCAGCCAGCAGTTTCAGCCCTGGGCTGTGGGGATGAGGGAGATGGTACTGGTCCCATGTAACTGGCTCGAAATCTTGGATGTATTCCTAAATTGGTTCTTTATTGCTGCTTTTGATGGATCTTAGAAGATTGTAACTGCAGCTCTAAAGAGATTTCATCAAGTAATAAATGCTATAAACTAAGATTAGATATTAAGAAGAAATTTTTTACTGTAGGRTTGKTGAGRCCCTGGCACAAGWTGCCCATAGAGGCTTGGCTGCCYCATCTCTGCAAGTGTTCAAGGCCAGGTTGGATGGAGCTTGAAGCAACCTGATGTATTGAAAGGTGTGGGATAAGGTAGTCTTTAAGGTTCCTCCAATCCAARCCATTCTGTGATTCTAAGAAASTTACCTGTTTAAAAATTGTCCATTATTCTGTTTCAGCAAAACATAAASTTTTACATTAAAATCAGCGTGTGTTCTGGCCTTGTTTGTGAACCACTTTTATGTCACTCCTGCCAGGCTGGACGAATGCTGCACAGCTATGGAGAATGAACCCAACACAACATCATGTTCTGCATCCACAACAACCGTCACCACCTCCTCCACTTCCCGCACACCGCTCCCGCAGATCTCCGTCTACAGCGGCTCTGACAGACATGCTGTCCAGGTACTGGCCTCTGGGATCTTCCTCCCTTCCCTGTACAGACATTGTGCAGTACTTTACACAGGATTAACTTCTCATTCTTAATTGCCATTGTCTTTCTCAATAGCTAACTTGCTGGTTTTCAGGAGATGTTTAATGAAGGGTATCAGACCACTTAAGCATAGTGCAGGGTAGGCCTGTCTCCCAAATAAGGGAGGGGGAAGTGCTATGGTTGAAAGCTTGGTTTGTTCATCATTTGCTAAGGGTGTGGATTATTAACATAAACCTGTGCAAAATAAAGCTATTTGACCAACATTGACTACAGGGATATGAGGTATCTGTGTGGGTCTAAGTGCTGTGTGGGATCCAGCCCCCTCTTGCTGTTCTTGAAATTAGGTCTCCTTGAGCTCTGTGCAGTCCATTCTGTTGCATTTGATAATTAGTGTCTCATACACTACTCTGATCTTTCATAAAGCAGAACATGATGTTGGGAATGATGACAGCCTGTATTGTCAGGCTGTCCTTGAGAATGTGAATATATTGATGTTGACAATACTSTATGACTTGGTCAAGAACAGTGAGGAAGCAAATTCAGTATTACATAATTGGTGTGAAAAGAATTTATTTGGTGTTATTTCCTTGTAAGGGTAAACTTCAACATCATGTCAGCATGGTGTGTGCTTTGTAATTGTAATTAATTACCTACTGATTCATCACAGGTTATTCAACAGGCCTTGCATCGTCCTCCTAGCTCAGCTGCTCAGTACCTCCAGCAGATGTATGCAGCCCAACAGCAGCATCTAATGCTGCAGACTGCTGCTCTGCAGCAGCAGCACTTAAGCAGTACCCARTTTCAGAGTCTGGCAACTGTTCCACAGGTGAGAGTGAAGATTGCTGAAAAAGAACCGTGTATTATCTAGAGCAGGGCTACAGTCATTGTCAAAYGTAATAACAGCTTAAGTGCCTGAGCTTAATGCCTCATGATAATTCACTGTTATTTTTTAATGATGTTGTTATTTTAAATTGTATCATCCTCCAAACTGTTAGGAGGATTTTGTCTGATGGTATAGATGCTCCAGTAGGCAACCATTCCATGCTTTATTGCATACATTGTAATGCATCATGTAAATCATCAAGCAGTAATAAATATCAAAAATAGACTACTTCAATCTTCATCCCGTGATTTTCTCTAAAAGTTGATGGGGAAGCAAGGAGCAGCATTGTATTTTAGTGAAATAAAACATAATGAACACCTGGTATCTTAGTGTGTTTTGCCTCACATCTGGCTGCATTATAAGTAACGACAAAATTAAATTTTAACCCTGAGTGTGAAAATGTAGGTGGTAAATGATGTTTCATATCTGAAACAGCTTTTAACATCAGTGATCTCTGGAGGAGACCCATTTTGAATTCAAGCAGTGGCAAGATTTCTTTTGACCTCAGTTGACCTTGGATTGAGAATATGATCTTGCAGAGAGAGGTGGTTGTTAATGATTTTACACAGGGAAATGCTGAATGGAGTTAAAGACCTCAGGGATRTGGCTGTTTGTTGTCAGAACTGGACTGACTCATTTTTGCTCCTGGCTCTTTTCTTCTATAACTTTTTCATTAGATTGTGGTAATATGTTGATTTGTCTTTTTTGTTGTGATAGATTTCTGCGTGGATATACAGTTATTAAGACAGAGCAAAGAATATCAGGTTGGGAAGGCTGAGAAGTTTTGTTTCTGTTCATACAGAAACCTAAATCACTGTCCCTGTTATTCATCTGAAGGGCTGGAACRGCATCCTGTGATAGACACTAGATGTGCATACATAAGCTACCATTYCAGAACATGAAGCTGTTCTTTACAGCACATATAAATATAGTTTGTTTTATTTTTAGAAGATTCTAATCACAATGAAATCATAACATGAATTTTAATAATGACAGTTTTTAATGATAGCTCATTTTAAGGTCYAAGCACCATAGGTAATAAGGTGATCACTTAGTGCCTTCATTAACTGTTTGGTAGACTTTACCTCTGATAGTTTTTTTTCAAGTCTTGGTCTGAAAGAATTAGATGCTTGAAATTTGGTAGGACTTCAAGGAATTTAGCACCTTGCAGGTAGCATTTCATAGCGCAGAGTGCACTTTGCTGAGCACCATTTCCACTGAGTGAAGCATTCTTAACTCAGAGAAAAGGTAAAGGTAGAGAGGGCTGTTTCTGATGGTTTATGCAATAAAATGAACATCACTTAAGCACTTTCTGATTTCACTATTTGACACATATTCTTGCTATTTAGGCAAGCCTGTCAGGTGGGAGGCAATGTACTTCCCCCACTGGGAGTGTCACTCAGCAGTCAAGCATGTCGCAGACCTCGGTACGTAACTGCACAAAGCCTTCCCTCCAATTCCCAACCCCTTGGTTGTTTTATGGCTACAGGGAAAAACAGAAAATATTTTAGYGTTTCAGTTTGTATTGTTAAAATTAGTATTACAGACACAATAAACAGAAGTATGACAACTCTGTAGTARGTGTTGGGTGCTGTGTGTGATTGTTGGTGGCCAGGGTTGGCTTCCCCACTCCCAGACCCTTCTTAATTCTGAGGGGSAGCTGCTCGCTCCTCAAGCACCAGTGGCTGTCCAAACTCCTGGAGAAATCACTCCCTGAGCTCTCATCTCWTACATGATTTCTTATTGGATTTTCTACATTAGTTCCTTTATTCAGGGTACAACTGTAGGTGAAAATAATAACTCTGTAGCACCAAAYCTAAAGAATCCAAGTCAATGCTAACATATATTTATGAAACTGATTAAATGTTTATCGCATTCATTCTCTTATTGATTGTCATCTTTTATCATGCTTTTTTTTTTTTGCAGCTTCACTTCCCATATTCTAGGCATGTGCTCAGGTTTCACTTGTGAGCAGCTCTGTGTTCAGTTCATGCTGTATTTTAAGTGCCATTGTCAGCCATGCACAGTCTCTTCTGTACAGTTCTACAGTTGTCTGAAGTAGGATTTGTTAGTCCTACAGACATCCTGCTTATTAATCACACCCTCAAGCTGTTCATGGCTCGAGTGCATAGCTTCAGTGACTTAACTGTATATTTTTTTAAGCTCTCATAGCTTGGCTTGGCTTACAATTGTTAGAGGTAAAACTATTCATTCATTAAATTTAGGAGGCAAAGTCTTTAAAGATATCTGATATTAAACTAATAAAATAATTGGGCTGGGGTTTTTCAAGGAAATCTTTTAAGTAAGTGATGAAAAAGAGCTGGGCACTTAACTCTGTTAGACTGGTTGGAAAAAAAAAAGAAAAAGAAAAACAGAACAGAGTTGGTTTGTTGGTTTTCTTTTTTTTTTGAGCAAGGATGCTAAAAAGCCATTTTTGAGGAGCATTTAATGTGAAGTGGGAGAAGGTTTTAGTCTTCAGTCATTTTTCAATGTGCATATGTGAAATGAGGATTGAAAATCCATACATGGTGGCACAAAGAAGTGTCCTGATCAGGCTGCATAACAGAAGATACCAGCCAAGGTAGATAATAGAAACATTTAAAGATCTTAAATATTGAAGTTTAGGTGTTTTTCTTAAAACATTGAAAGCTTGTTCTACATTTTCAGTGAATGTGTATTTCTATGAGTTGTATCTTTCAGTCTTCACATCATTGTTTATACTTGTAACTGCTTAATATTGTTTACTGCAAAGTGCTTGCTTGCAGTTTAAGAATAAAAACATGTAATCTTGCCAAAATCTAATTTTRTGATGATGGGCTCAATATGTTTTTCCTGTCTTTACAGTTCAGAGATTCCAACTGCCTCTGCCATTTTTGTCAAAGGCTTTCTRGCTTTAGACCCTAGAATGACTGAATTTCCATGACAGAAGCAATATTTTTGTTTCCTTAGATTAACCTCTCCACCTCTCCTACACCTGCACAGATAATAAGCCGTTCTCAGACCTCCAACACCACCAGCAGCAGCATTACCCAACAGACGATGTTGCTGGGCAGCACCTCTCCCACCCTGAGTGCAAGCCAGGCTCAAATGTATCTACGAGCTCAGATGGTAAGTTTTGATTAGAGTCCTTACCAAGTTTGGCTTTACTCTGTTCCTATTGGAAGATCTAAGCCCTCTTTCTTAAATGTAGTAGATACTCRGCTGCTCTCATCTTGTTTTTCACTAATTTGTGGTACTGGAGGGAAAGTCCTTTAAAGTGCTGGTATGAAAGATCATAGATGTGTTTMTTAATCTSRAAGATTTTTTGTAATATGTAGAATAAATACATTATTGTATTTGGCATTACTCTCTTTTAATTTTATTTACATAAATTGCCATAATAAGTTGTTCTTTAAATAAGTTAATCTAAAAGTAAAACAAATCTTAGAAGCTGTACATCAGTACATGTAAGTTATATATTTCTTTAAGAAACTGTGTTTCTTTCACAGATTTCAAAAATTTCAGTCTGTTACCATGTAWTTTTTCTTCCTTAACAGCTTATTTTTACTCCTGCGACCACTGTGGCTGCTGTCCAGTCTGACATTCCTGTTGTCTCCTCATCTTCCTCCTCTTCCTGTCAGTCTGCAGCTACTCAGGTAAGCTTGTGTAAACTTGTTAAAGGTCTGTCCAGTAGAGTGGGCCAAAACTGAAAAGTAAGGAGATGTTGTGCTTATGTTTTACTTGCTTATAAAAACTACCCACTCCAGACCAGAAAGCAGATGAGCTGCTGGGATGGCTCTGCCAAACTCCAGCTGAATCACCTTCTCTGTGAAGGTGTGCTGTAGGTTGATTTGTCCTTACTGGGGCAGGATRGCAGTAAATGCCTCCTCTATGCCAGTGAGGAAGCATCTGCTGTTCTCTTGGGTTTGAATGTGCCCTATGGTGACACACAGAACCGTGAGAAGTGAAATGTAAACTAGCTGTTCATTACACAGGTACTAAYTGTTGAGTGAAGAAGGGATTATGTAATGAAAATAGGGGATGGTGATAATAATTGGTCCTCTTTTTCATGTAAAAGATGATGTAAATTAATGCTACAAGGGAAGGCATTATCCTTGAAAATGAAATTCTATCTCAGCACGTAGGATTGGAGATCTGGGATCATTATGTACAGAATCTGGCTGTGATATAACAGACTTCAGTGAAAATGATCCCTGACTGATTTACATTTCAGAATGCAAACATTTTGTTTCATCTGACATTGCAGGTGTCGTGATGAGAAGTTAGGTTAAAATTGGTGTAGAAACAAAGGTTTCAGKTTTGTTAACACACAGATAGCGCAGAGCAGACTCTGATCCCACTGGCCACCCAAAGCTCTGGTTTATGTTGATGTCTGGAAGCTCAGTCACAGACCAATTCTACTGTGTCTGTGTAAAACTAAAATTGCCTTTGCTTAAGGTGCCTTGTGTCACTTACTTTGAAGGCACAATAAAAGAGAAAAATCAAAGTTTTAATTCAAATTAATTAACAATTTCCATTTCTTTTAAAAATCTAATAAGGGAAAAAAGACTGCTGTATTTATCACTGAAGTAATAAAGATTGCTATCCTTCTCTAAGTTTTATGGCTTTAAAGATACTTTGATATGCAGATTTTTCGCTTCTTTTGATCACATGGGATGAAAAGCATTACAAAATGTTTTGGTTTTTTTCTGTTTTTGCCTGATGTTTGTCACAGATGTTTATAGGGTTTGGGCTTTTTCATGTTTTGCTCATTTCCCAGGTTCAGAACTTGACGTTGCGCAGTCAGAAGCTGGGTGTGTTGTCAAGTTCACAGAATGGCCCACCAAAGAGCAGCAGTCAAACTCAGTCCTTGTCCCTGTGTCCCAGTAAAGCTGTCAGCAGTTCCAAGGGCAGCCAACCAGACCCCTCAGAAAGCAATAGGAAAGGCGAGAGCCCAGCTCCGGAGTGTCGGAGTACGCCGGTCACTCGGACATCCAGCATACACCACTTAATAACACCAGGTGGGATGAGTATGGAGCTATAGGAAAGTTAATTTAATGAAAACTAATTTGTATGTTAGACTTCAGTGCTCTCTGACCATGTTATTGTAGATATTCCACATGATAGGTTCAAGTTTTAATAGTAAATTCACTTATATTTTGRTATTGGATGTGGCACAGAATTATGATTAAGCAGAGGCAGGAATATTCTTAAATCACAATACAAGCACAATATAGCAATTGCACTACCCTGTTGAGCCACAGCACAAACATGATTCTCATTCATGGTCTCTCTGTGTGTTTGTTGTCAGGATATGTCATCTCTGGGCAGCAAAAAGGTGGGCTGAAACCACCTCAAGCCTCTTGCTCCCATCAGAATCTGTTAGTGGTTTGTTGGGATTTTTTTTCTGTCTTGTCTGTGTCATGAGAATGTTCTTATGTCAAGTATTTTTATAAACCTATAGGTAACAATGCTCAGGATTTTACTATTTTGTWTTGAGATAAATCAAAATAACCTGTACTTGGTTAGAGGGTCACGTATACTGCATGATGAATGTTTATCTTAGCTCCCTTATTTTGAAAGAGTGAGGGTAGTCTAGACAATTGGGTCTGAGTTCTGTGGAATTTAGCTTGGCTTAATGACAGCTYTTAGAGAAAGAGTGGGACTTGGAGGCAGACATTCTGGAGGTATTGAGGCCTCATGCTCTGAGAACTCCTTAGTAGCAGAACAAATCAAAAATCCTACATAAACGAGTTGCTTCTTAAGTGGACAAGACAAAGCAAGAAGAGGTTTGTGTGTGGTGGACAAGATATGTGTGTGCTGTAAGAAATGACTAGTGAGTCAGTGGTTCACTTAAAGGTGATRTGGTTCCCCTGGAAGCTGCACTATGTTTAGATTTGTACCTCTCAGCTGGTGTGTTCAAGTTCAAGCAAATGSTTTCAGTGGTTTAAATTTATACTGAACTCTTGGTATTTTATTTAGTCTCTKAACATAGCATTATCTAAACTTTAACTTGGTGGTTATTGGCAAATCCTGTTGTGACATGCTTGTCATTTCTCTTCCAGTCTGTTTCAAAATAAAGGTTAAATCCATTTTTAAARCTGCATGAAATTCTTAAATAAGTGAAGGCTGGATCAGCAGTAGTCGTAGACCTAGCACCAAAAAGATAAATTTAGGTACTTTTATGTAGAAAGTACATGTATGTAAAAAGCATGGCCATATTCCTTTATTCATTCTGCATTTTGCTTTGGAAATTGATATACTCCCCTAATAAGTTGCTCTTGTGTTCTATATGCTGCCAAAGAAGATATTTCCAAACGACTATCTGACGTGTTTAAAAAACTGTGTGATCTTTAAAGTGAGATTTTTTGACATATTTAATAATATTTTCAGAACTTGAAGAAATAAATACTAATTGTCACTTTTCTTCCCTTCMCTTGCAGCTTCATATTCTCCACTGCAACCTCATTCTCTAGTAAAACATCAGCAGATCCCACTTCATTCGCCACCTCCAAAGATTTCCCATCATCAGCTGATCCTGCAGCAGCAGCAGCAAGTCCAGCCGATTGCACTTCAGACWCCTCCGGGCCAGGAGCCGCCTCCATCGCATCACTGTCTGCCTCTCCCCAGCCATGCGCTTCCCCCTGCTCCCAGCAGCGTCCCGTCCCACTGCTCCCCTATCCACATCCATCCTCCGCCTCTCACGCTCTCTCCCACCCCATCCCAGTCAGCTCAGCAGTCAGTGGTGGTATCCCCTCCGCCGTCGCACTCCCCGAGTCAGTCACCCACCATAATTATTCACCCCCAAGCCCTCATCCAGTCCCAGGCCAGCTCCCTGGTGCCGGCGGCTCTGCAGCCCGAGCCGGCCGCTGCTCAGGCGGCTGCCGCCAACCCCGTGCGGCCATCGCARCCGCTCAGCCTCCCGCCGCACCTGCCGCTCCCACCCTCCCCTGCCGTGCACATCGGGGCCGTGGAGCCGCCCAGCTTGGTTTCCCCGGGCCAGCAGCTCGTGTCCTCCACGCCACACCAGCAGTATCCAGCCCTGCAATCTGCTCCCATCCCTCTGGCAGCTGCGCCGCAGCTCTCGGCATCCTCAGCGCAGATTCAACCGCTGCCTCTGCAGTCTGTGCAGTCTTTACAAGTGCAGCCTGAAATTCTGTCCCAGGGGCAGGTTTTGGTTCAGAATACTTTGGTTTCTGAGGAAGAGCTTCCTGCTGCAGAAGCTTTGGTCCAGCTGCCATTTCAAGCTCTTCCACCGCCACAGACTGTTGCCGTAAATCTGCAGGTGCAGCCATCGGTTCCGATTGAAACTCCAGTGGTGAGTGGTAATATTGCATCCTTTTTTCTTTCCCTGGCCTTCTCCAGAGCTGTGTATCTGGCCCGTTTACTTCAGAGGGAGCTAAACCAGGTACTAGACAGAGGACAAGAAACCTACTGGTTACAGAAATGAGTTTTAAGAAAACAGTAGACATTTTTCTTCYGTTTCATGTTTTGATTTGGGTTTTTTTKGTWGGCTTTTTGTAATGGATCATAAATCAAGAATATTAACCAGGAATAATGAAAGTGCAAATTTAGGACCTAAAATMTTTTTTCTTAATGAAACTACAATGTTTTTGAAGTTAAAAATAGTAAGTAAATGCATGATAATGCTTAAATAAAAGCATTTTGGTAAATGTAGCATATGGACTGTAAGCTTTTACCTCTTAAAGCAGATAGATTTTGAGTAGGAGAATCATCTGTAGTAGATGGAAGGTGCATATCAGGTTATTGAGATGATAGGTTTCTGGATAATTACTTTTGTACTAACATTAAAAATAGCCTCTTCATAAAAGAATAGGGGAATTTTGGTGCTGTTTTGGCGGTTTTCATCACCACCATTTGATTTGGTTCACTGTTTGTCTCAGATATCTGCAGTTTGTAGCTGAAGGTTTTGGCTTTTGTCACTGRATTAGAATCATCTACAGGAAAGTAAAATAATATGCAAATAATGTTGGCATTTCAGAATGTATTGCTGTGCTTTAGCGGTAACATGCTAATGAGATTAGGTTAAGCAAAAGAATCAGTAGCTCTTACAGGCTTTTTTGAGGTTATCAACAGGTTAAGGGAAGAGTTTGCTGTTCATTTTTAATGTATTTTAAGAGGGTAATAATCTCCAGTCTGATATTTCATGGAGAAATTAGGCAAAAGACTAGAAGCCAAGTTGCTTTTGACAGGATAGTGTTTTACATTTTAATCTGCTAAACTGACTGCCAGGAATTTATGTAAATTTACTTCAATACTGCTGAGGAAAAGACCTTAAAATCTCTTATAACCGCTAATGCTTGATAGTCTTGATGTGCTCTTCTGAAATACTCAATTTGATTACACTGCTGCATAAGATAGAACAATTTATAGACTTGTCATTAAACTTGGATTTTGGAGATGTGTTTAAAYAGCATCAAATGTATGTGTAAATAAAAATACAGTAAACTATACACATAATATATTGAAAAGGTCAAGTTCTCTGGTCTGTTTGGTTGGAGAACTGTGCCTCTATATATATTGCTGTTTGTAACAAAATAGTTTTGCTTTCATAGATACTGTGATGTCCTGAGAGTTCATAGTTTGGTGTGCAGTTTGGAAACTAGTGTTTTGATAAAAGATGAACCTTTTTTAACTGGTAATTTATTTTAAAAACTGTATTAATGCAACTGTTTTAAGATGTTAAGCTAGAATGGAAATCTCTCTAAAGCAATAGTTTGTTGGATGCAGATTTACCAAGTGGAGAATGTGTGTGAAGAAGAGATGCCGGAGGATTCAGATTGTGTCCATATGGCAAGAACACCTACACCACCCACCTTGTCTCCACCAGCCATAACCTTGGGGAATGGAGAGGCTCTTAATTCAGAAGATCCTTTGTCAGGTGAGGACAAATGCCAAACTAAGGTAGCTTTTGGCTTTGTGATTTGTGTAAGTAATTAATGGCCAACTGTGCTTGTAGTTAGTAGGTAGTAAGTAAATGAAAATGTTTGCATGAGGAGTGTGTGTGTGTGGAATAGTCTGTCAAGATAAACRTCTTGTTTTAAAGGTGAAGTCTGTAAAGCATAGGGAAGAGCCTGTGTTAGGGGTTGTTGGATACAGAGATGGTTCTTGGGGATTTATCATCTCTTGCCTCCAGAATTCTGAGCCAGTGGTTGGAGATAAGTGATAAAACATAACATGCTTTGTTATTTTTTTCAGAACATGGGGGACTGCCTTCAGTGACATCATCAGTCAGTGCCTCAGTAATTAAATCTCCATCTGATCCTTCACATGCCTCTATTCCACCACCACCTCTTTTGCTTCCAGCAGCAACGACAAGGAGCAACAGCACATCCATGCCCAATAGCATTCCCAGCCTAGAAAATAAACCTCCACAGGCTATTGTTAAACCCCAGATCCTGACCCATGTCATCGAAGGCTTTGTGATTCAGGAGGGGTTGGAACCGTTCCCTGTAAGTCTAGAAGTTGCTAAGAACTTTTTACTACTAATCTTTAAAATAAACTGTTTATAAGGATGATGTTATTTGTAGCTAGTAGATATTTAGATCTTGAATTGTGTTTCAGATGTTGTTTTTGACCCTTTTTCCACTGATTGGTGACTTGACTAGTAGGCTGTATCTGGAGCTATCTGCAGAGAGTGGTTTTGGGCTACCATTTGGAATAACTTTTTTACATTTGTCTGTCTCCTAGATCCCGCAATTTAAGTGATACCTTAATTTAAACGTTAGAGCTGAGTCTATGTTAAAGTTCTAAAATGCTACAATTTGATGTTTCAAGCACTGGCAAGCTCTTAACTGGGCTAAGTGTAATTGGTACTGTGGTAAGAATTACTGTTGAAAATTTTAAATCACAAACTGACAATTTAAAACCTGTCCTACTAATTTAATGTGTGTCTCATTTTCCCATTCCTTTATTTCTCTAGATCTAATATGTTTCTTCCTTTGTGAAATGTAGTTGCAATCTCTGCAGAGCAGGAGTGAGTTTTGGGTTTTTTTGAGGAATGGTATTGAGAGCTTTGGCATGATATAACTACAATTTGTACTCTCAGTTACTGCTAAGTAGCAAATACTGTTTTTAATTATTCACTTCTCAGTTACTCACTGTTGCTTGGCTTTTRTTGCAATAGGTCAGTCGTTCATCTTTGCTGGTGGAACAGCCTGCAGAGAAGAGTTTGCTGGTGGAGGGTCAGATCATGAGTGTGGTGTGCGTTGAATCAGACTTGCAGAACACAAAGCATGCAGAGAATTCATCGGACACAGAGATAGAGGATATGATTGCAGAAGGTTTGTAGGTTTTGTTTGAATAACCATTTTCCCCCCTCCAGTTCTGTGTGCTATGTAATGGGAAACAAACTGATCTTTGCATAATTGTTAATCAAAGTATTTAATTGAATGTGTTAAATGCTTGAGGTGAGAAATGTGAACATAATTTTATGTTATTGAAACTGACTTCTTTATGCTTCATTCCTTTCTTTAGAGGGACTGGATGAAATTGAAAATGATCTTCTGAAGTGTGAGTTTTGYGGAAAAATGGGATATCCCAATAAGTTTCTACGGTCAAAAAGATTCTGCTCCACATCCTGTGCCAAAAGGTAACTTTGTCTAATTATTATTTATCATTATCTGGTTAATTAATTCATCTCTCCTGGTTAAGAGAGCAAAAATTTACTGTCAACATCTGAATGCAAAATCTTCYATCATTACAAATGKAAAATTWATGCTTAATACCCTARATTTTAGAAGTGGGGAATTGCTACYGCTAGTCACCACTTAGCTCTTTTTTGGCATCAGTGTGTGAGGACATGACCTTTCTCTAATGTCTTCTGCAGGCCCATTTAAGTAGTGGGAAAATATATTTTTGATTTGGTACTTCTTGGGACAGCACCAGCAACGTTACTTAAAGGGATTTAGTCCTTTAATCCTAACATGAGATTTTTGCCTCCATCCTCCTTTGATTGGTTATCAGCTAGACAGAGAAAATGGAACCAAAAAAMCCAGTGTGATTTTAGGTTTTTAGTAGATATTTCAGAGCAGAACTGTACTAGGTGATCAAATGCAAAGGTATTTCTATCATGGAAAATTGTTAAAAATGGGAAGGACAGACATCTTCCAGGGATAATCTGGATGTACTTGATCCCACATTGAGATGAGGRTTTGAGTAAATGGCCTTCAAGATACCTTTTTTTGTATTTCTGTGACAGCTGTTGTTGTAATTAAGCAGCATTTCTACAACACTGTGATTTTATGGTTACTTGATTGAATTCACTCCAAAAAACTACTAGTGCATTATTGAATATATCTTACTTCTTTAGGCACAGCCTTAGTTGCACTAAGAAATTTGGGCTGTTYCCATCAGACAAGACCAGTCGTTGGAATCGGAAGTCAGATAGCCAAAGTCTTGGGCGACGCGGGCGTCGGCCGAGCGGCCCTGAGGGGGCGTCACGAGATCATTTTCTTAGACAGGTCTGTGGAATATTTGCTTCAAACTATGGCATTGCTTTGGGAAWTGCAAATAAAGCCTAATACTGTAGTGTATTTGTACTGCGTTTTCCAGCTTCCAATTACTTATCCATCTGCAGAAGAAGATCTGGCTCCTCATGAAGATGCTGTTCCAGCGGCCATGACCACGCGCCTGCGGAGACAGAGTGAGAGGGAGAGGGAGCGAGAGCTTCGGGAGCTGAGGATCCGGAAAATGCCCGAGAGCATTGACCTCTTACCAGTGGTGCAAACTGACCCCTCAGTATGGACTGTCGATGAAGTTTGGGCCTTTATACATTCTCTGCCTGGTATGRAATGGGCAATAACTTGTTCTGTTGGTTTTAACAATGAAGTTCCTTGCTTTATAGCAACACTGTGATGAGGAGGTGGTGTGGTAACCGCAGCAGCGTTAGCTGGTGATAGAGACTGGAATATGATTTGTTTCCTCTTGCTTGTTCCTTCAGCACAAATCCCATGTTGATAGAACTAGTCCCACTYCTGCTGTTGCATCCCAGCTGATGGAGATTAGAGCTGTTCCTTCCTTCAGTCTGACTTCTCTCAAGAGGTCAGTAGAGAGATCAGACACAATTCCTCCCTGTTACACTGCTTTCTTCTCCTCCTTCCTCACTTACTCATTCTTCTCCCTCCTCCCTTGCTGCTTACTCAGTATGAAAAGCAAGAGCAGTGTTACTTCCCTGGTACAACTGAAAAGTTTGAAAGATGTGTCCTGATACAAGTAATGAAAAAAGAATAAGCAAATTTCTGCTATAAACTTTTTGCTTAGCTTTACTCAGAGCCCTTCTGTAGAAATTCTGCATACTGGTATGCAGTTTGTTCTTAGAAAAAATAATTAGGTTTCTCCTTGTTCACAAACCTTTTCTTTAGCTTGATATTCATAGCTACCTTTGTGTCATCTTCAGGTTATTTGACATTTATTYTTTCCTAATCATCATAACCTTTAAAGCTTCACTCCCCACCTTTTCCCAAGGATGCCATTTTATCTGATCAGACACTCTGGTCCCTGCAGACAAGGCAGATCTCCACCATAGCAGCCATACCAGAATTTTTTTGCTTAACTATTWAAACCCAGGCTAATTTTGTTCCTAATTTTCTACTTTTTCTGGAGTGCTATACCATTTTTCTGTGAATCCCATTAGGCTAGTAGCCTGTAAGGAATGTATCTTCATTGCTAAGTCGTACACATGCATTATGACATGTAGTCTTTTGTAATAGGTCAAGCCAAGAATTGAGTAAGAGATCTCTAAAATCGGCAGAAATCATCCTTGAAGTACCCTTCTTCTGGTAGCTCATTGCAATTAAGTATACTGTCTGCTTCTGGGAACCTTCAGTGATGTCTGTAAAAACAAGTAAAGCTCCTTAGGTTTAGGACATGGTCATTCCTCTTTCTGTACTTGAGCTGTGTTATGGAGTGTAGTTACAKTGATGCTGTTTTCAGTTACTTATTTACAGATTTGAAGCTCAATTTAATTGATGCCAGCCTCTCAATAAATGGTWGTTCCTGTGCTAGAATAATTGAAGTGCCACATAAACACAATTCACTTGCTAGTATGTAACCAAAAATGTTATTCTTAAAATGTGGTTTTGCTTTGAAACCATTACTTTTACATTGTTTCACCAGCTGCTGAATCTGGTTTAGTTTTTTGTATTCTATAAACAAGGTGATCTTTGATTTTAAACAAACATTATTTTTATCTTGTTTTAATGAAAATTTATTGTAATTACTCATTCCTATCCATATGAGTACCAACTACTTTTAAAAGAAAGTTCAGTAGATAATTTAAAACTATATTCATAAACTRCYAGAATTTTTATTGCTRCATCGCTGCATTTGGGGATTTATTCTTTTCAGTATCTCAAGTCACTCTCCCGAAAAAGTATTCTATCATATACTGCCAAGATGAATTAATGCAGAAAATAATATAGTTGATTTTGATTATGGCATTTCATATTATATATCTACTTGGTGCAGTGTGTGCAGACCATATGCCATGTTGTAGGAGATGGTAATTTGTCACCTTTCCATAAACATTAGGGACATCTGTTTTCATTTACTGCTTTCTGTGTAGTCTGTAGCTGAAATGGATTGATGTGTCCTTGTCAGGCTTTTCCTGAGTTCCTCTGGATCTTTTTGGAGAAGTCAGTGTCCAGGACACTTGCACTGTTAGGTGTTTCTTCTGGAGGAAGACACAGAACAGCTTAAGCTGAGCCAAATTGTTCTCCTTTCTTTTTTCTATTGCAAGATGCATGACCTTTCACCCACTCCCCATCCTTTTTTTTTTTTTTTTTTTCAAGTTATTGCACAACAAGCAATTGCAAAAGTGCTTAAGAATATACCCAGATGTGCTTGGATGAGGGAACTGAAATACATTTAAATTTAACTCCCATCCCCTGCTTTTCCAAAAATGACTTTGATAAAAAGTATTTTAAGAAGTTGCATGGAAATTCTTCATATCCTGCTTAAAGGAAAAAAGCAGGCAACAACATCCAGTTATGTATTTCAATAGGATCAGTTTTGATCCTAAATGTAAGAASTTCTCTTGATCTCTCAGATTCTTTGTTAATGCTCTGGTCTGACAATTGCAACATTCAGACATGCCATGATACCTTTCCCAGAAATACTCAGTTCTTGACTTAGAGATGTTTTATCTGTTGCCAACACTTCAATAAGAAAATCTTTCTGATGATGTTAGAGCTAATTGTTGCATGAAGTTTAACAAATCATTAAGAAAAAATAGTGCTTTATTCTTTGTGAAAAGCTAACTTTTTACAATCTTGAATGTTACAACCTTTACACAGTAATTATACAAATAAATTCAGGTTTGGATGTTGGTACTTCCTTCCATGTTTCCTTTTCATTTGTCTGGTACACATGTGTAAATGCATCAGGAAATAAGACTAATTATTTTTTATAGAATTTAAATCTGAGCACACAAGAGAACATGAAATTAGTTGATCTCATCTAGCTAGAAAAGTTCTTCACAGTAATWTCATGTCTCTGTAATGTATACTTTTAAAGTGGGAAAATGGAAAAAAAGGAAAATATAGGCTTATTAGAGGAATAATTGAAATCAGTAATGGAAGGTGGAGCACAAATTTGAGTGTGTCTGAAGGGCTCTGAGACAGATGGAGAGATCACTGGATTGAGAACACAAATGTATAAAGAAAACTCCATTAAAAACATGGCTGGGGAAAGAAGCTTCAAATAAACAACCGACAATGAGTGCTCTCATGGACATTGTTAGAAGACATTTATCCATCTAACAGCTGCCATAGATCCATGYATAATTGGCTGATTCTGCTCAACTCATGTCCAGACCATCTTTGGAGGAATCTTTATTTCCACAGCATTCTTTTGTGGAAAGGGGCCTTCAGTTACTTGGGACAGTCCAACCCATGTAGAGTCTTTTTTTATGCTGTAAGATACAATAACCTGAGACTGCTATTCCATGTTCAGAAAAGGAGTTCAACATGGAAAAAAAGATCCAACCAGTTTAAAGTTGCACTTGTAAAGTGAGTTACTGCTGTGTGTAGAATATTCACTCAGATAACTAATGATAAATGTCTTCCATGAGATGGTTGTGCTAAAGSCCATACATCAAAGCTTGGTTTCCTTAACCTAGTGCTGTAACATACAGATGGAATTAACTCCTTTTGGAAATCGTAGCTATGTGGATGTTCTCATTGAGTTGCACATAACAGTATTATAATATAGTTATCTTTTATAGGGTTAGATAATAGTATCTTTTTATTGCTGGAAAGAGCCCACTTGAATTATGTTCCTGATTGCTATTTCAGTGCTGTTTTCACAATCTCTTCCAATGATGAGAGGTTGTTCCTCTTAATTAAATGAAAATTCTGTCTTTGCTGGGACTTAGAATTCCCAATGAGTAAYACTCCAATAAATAGTGTAATTAGAGGCTGTAGTAAAAATTGCTTTCAGATTATTTCAGAATTCCCATCATAACATTGAACTCTTGCATGTAATTTAGGTTCAACAAGCTAAAGGAATGAGCACTGGAAAATGTGTAGCTGAAAAGCTCTAGTGTGGACAAAATCATTGGATCTAAGAYGCACATTTCTAAAGCAATAATTGTATTTTTTATTGCCTTTTAGGTTGTCAGGATATTGCGGATGAATTTAGAGCCCAAGAAATTGATGGACAAGCTCTCCTCTTATTGAAGGAGGATCACCTTATGAGTGCAATGAATATTAAGCTTGGACCTGCATTGAAAATCTGTGCACGTATCAATTCYTTGAAAGAATCCTAGGAGGTGAAAATGAAGGTTTAAACATCAGTTTCTCAGTGACAGAACCAACAGTAATATGCCAACATCTTCACTGTGGCATGAGTATTACTGTGATGTTTTGTTAAATAGGTGGGGTTCTCCTCACAGAAAGACTTTTAAATGTTCTTTTGATTATACCAGGAGTCCTCTGTAGTTTTCAACAACTAATAGGTTTATGGTAAAGCCTGAGTAATGCTTTGAGTTAAAGTTTTTCATGGAAAACCATTTAAGTGAAATATGCTGTGATAGGTTAAATATTCCCCAACATATACTTCATCTTACGAGTTTTAATATTAAGACTCCAATCCCTTCCCCAATCTAGACATCATTTAAATTGTGTTGCTGTATTCTGAAAAATTTTTCCCACATACAGCAGTGTTTGAACTGAACTAACAGAAGTGTCCACAGGCCCTGTGGAAGCACTAGTACCAGTAAAATGCTATGCATTTAGTTGTGCTCTCTGAGTTTGTTTTAGTCTTGAGCAAAGTGTTTGTATGGGGTAGGTTGGCAGCTGGTTTTCCTCGTGTAGGCTTACCCTCATCTCTGCCACTATAGTATTTTCTTGAAATCAGTAAGRTACTATAAACCATGTAGATGTCTCGTCAAAATCCTCATGATCAGGCTACTGACACTCCTGCCAGAGGTAACTGAAGCACATGTTACTTTATTCTTTGAATGCTGCTATGCACTGAGGGGGCATTAAGTGTTAGGTTTGTAGTTTCACATGCTGCTAGTTAAGCTAGACCAGCAGTTCTCAAATGGGGGTTCAGAGTGGACCCTGAGGAGGTGTGTGAGCACTCGGGGTTCAGGTTCCCGAATGCCTGGATGTGAGGGGCTGAAAACTGCAGCCAGGATGAGCTCATGTTGAGACAAGTTACTTTRGAGACTGGAGGTAGAGAAGGGACAGTATAACTTAGATGTTCTTTTTCTTGATACCTCTTCTAATATGTCTTTCCCTGTAGTATATTCCCATTGCCCCACTGGAAGTGTCCAAGCACCTTTTACTTGTCTGGTGGCCAGTGTGAGCTGTACTTGCAGTAGTTGAGCAATGAGCCACTTCAGAGCTCATGCAGGAGCAGATGCTGCTGCCATGAGRGAGCCTCAGGCCTCAGCCTGTAGCTGCAGGTCAACAGGAGGAATGCCAGTGTTGGCAACTCTGGGAGAAATACCCATGCTTTGTCCTTCTGGCAGGAGATTTGTCTGGGATGCTGCAGACCCAGGTGGTGGGATTTTAGTGTCCCACTTCATCTTCCCTCTCTTGCACTCTGTGGAACAAGTACATGTTTCTCCAGTTACTGACACTCTTGGAAGCTGCCTGGGCTCTGAGGCAGCAGCACCTTCTTGGCCTTTGCTTCCCCACCACCTGTGCACAGATGCTCATGGATGTATTTTGTATTTCTGTTCCCTCCCTTTTGCAGCTCCACTCCTCTTATGTACAGACCTGGWTCCCTAAGCTCTTGTGTAGGGAAAGAAGGGTACGTGTGCTGATAGTCATCGTGTATATTTGAATTAAATATGTGTATGTGTCTGCAAATAATGTATTTTTTGTATTTTATGCAAATTAATGCATAATATATGATTGTGTAGAGGTATTCAGGGGGGCTGTACAGTATTCCCGAAGAGAAGAGAAACTGACCTAAAGTTTGAGAACTGCTGCCCTAGATCAAAAGGAGTCAATGCACATACACTGGCTAAAAGGCAGGTTTGTGACAGACAGGTTAATATGTATATTATTTAACTGATGACCTTAAAGGGTRAATTTGGATTATGGAAAAATCTGTGCTTCATTTTCCTTTAATTAGACTATTGCTTTGTTTCTGCTAACAAACTTTGTACCATTACCTTCAGATCAACATTAGAATCATTGTTTTTAATTACAACTGTTTGAGCTTGCTAATAGCAGATGTTACTAATGTTTTTATTAACCACTGAAGCTGGAAGTTAGGACAACACATTGCTGTTACATGCTGGTATGTGGTGAGAGCCCTTATCCAAATGGCACCAAAGTTTTAGAGGATGAATTGATGCCTGGATTTATTTTGGAGGGAAGTTGCTAAGCACTTTCTAATTTGTTTTTTTCTGTTTTCAGTTACTGTTGTAAAATAAACTTCTTGGTTGAAGTTCCAACGTTTGCTAATGTTCATTTGAAAGATATTCAAATGATGCAGACAGTGGGTTCCCATTTGTAGCATTTCTGTAAGATACATAGTGTAGCATATCTGTAACATATGTTCTAAAGGATATGTTCTGTTTTGATGAGCTAACTGAAGACTAAAGAGAACTTAGATATTTATCCTTTGGCTTTTGTCTTAAAGTTTTATTATTTTTATACAGAAATCTCACTGGCTAATTTTTAATCTGTTTTCTGATTCTACTGTTCTTAGGCAATGTAAAAAGTAGGGATACGTAAATGTGGTTTGATAATGGTTTAAGGTGTATTAGAAAATGTGGGTTTAGGGGTCTTATTTAGACCTRTAGTTAATCAGTGTTACATGCATGAGAATTTCATGGCTGCTTTAATTTTGCTTTATTAGACAGCTTTCAGGAGAGCTGCTCCAGCTAGTATTTGTGTCCAGCTCAGCCATAATCATTGCCAGGTGCCAGRAGCTCAGAGCAGACCCCAGTAAGGCCCATCTGGTCCTGTTCTTCTGGTATGTAACATTTCCTGTGGGTTTGGGAGAGCCACAGATAGTGAGTTATGCTTTAAATATTCATGAATGCAACAGCTTAGAATGTGGGCCTTATGCATATTGAAAGTTTTTTTTCTTCTTCAGTGGTTTTGGCAATTAACTGGAATTTAAAAGCAGACCCAGCTCTACCAACCTGTACTGATAAAGGTGCACTTACGGGAGTGTTTGCCAGTGTAGTTATGTCAATAAAATCAATTTTAAAAAATTCACACTTGGATGTGAGAGTAGGCTGGAAAGTTTCCAAGTGCAACTGAAGTTTACTTGGGAAGCTTATGAACCTGCTCAAAAAAGCAATATAATACTTAGAGTAATAGTCCTCCAGAACCATTTTACATACCAGCCACTTGTTCAGATAGGTAAGGCTTTCCCAGGCCTACACTACCATTTCCCATGATTTTCCCACACATTAGGTTGTACCCTCTTGCAAAAGAAGTATTGAGGATTTTAATTGGATTTTAACACTTGTTCCCACTGGATGTGTCTACAAAAGATCCTTTTTATTAGCTTTATTTCGTGGGATTTTGCCTTCTGTGTTCAGATTTCTGGTGTTGCAGGCTACTTCTCACAGTTATGCTTGCAGTGTTTCAGCTTCTATRGGAAGGAATGCAGGATGGCCAGGATCTTATCTCAGGAGGGAGATACATTGCATGGCTTTCTCCCTTCCTTTTTCTCTGCTAGTCTCCATCCTACCCTATGGTGCCAGGAAGAGGAAAGGATGGGATAAAACCAAATGTTTGGGCAGGTCTGTGATAGCTTGTGCATCATTTCTGTATTTTGAGTTCAGCAGTAAGGAAATGATGAGGTGTAAAACCATTACAGTGTGGTTTGAATGGGAATTTGTCGTGACACTGGGCTGGGATTGATGTGTCKCTGCCTGGCATGGCAGCTAAAACTAATGCCAGTTTCAGATGGATGTGTTCATTCTAATACCACAATATCAATGCAGAAACTTCCATCTCAGTAGCTAAACAGATTTCTTATACAGTACAAATGTACAGCTCTGAGTGATCAAAGAATTAAGTGACAGCTGTGTTGTCCTGGTTTTGCAAATAATTAGACATCCACATAATTTATAAGTAGAGTGGCTCTTCTGATTGTACAAAGACTGCTCATATAAAAATTCAGCATGTATAAAAGCTTGCAGGGTTATTTTCTCACCAGTTTTGTATACAGATGTCCTGTTAGCATATACTTAGAAATGTARCTGTCATCATTAACCAGATATTTACTGATTGGTTGTTCTAGGCTGCAGGTAATAACTGTGCAAAATGATTAATTGAGGATACTTCTTTAATATTCACCTAGATTAGTTTATTAGAGATGGAGAGAAGCWAACATTTTAGAGTATTTTGTTTTAAATACACTGTTTCTGTTCAGTGCTGAGTGGAACAGGTATGAGCAGAGCTCTAAATGAATAATTTCAGTGTAAAGTGTTAATTGCTTGTAGTGAATTAATTTTCAAGTCACTCTTGCATAGTGAGCTGTAGTTTGRTAAGAAATACTGTGAGGAGAAAGAAATTTTAAACTCATTTAATACTGAGTTCATTTAARATGAGCCTAAATGAAATTAATTTTAAAAGCATTTGCCTTCAGTCATGAGAATTTATTTAGACTTGATAGGTATTATGTAGTTACATCCATGGGTGGCTTTGCAAATAATGACATTTGAAAAAGAGCTGGTAGTGCTGGTCCAGACAAGTGCCAGCTGTGTGGGTTTTTTCAGGAAGCTTTTTCAGGAAGCTGTCCCTGGTCTGAGCTGATGGACAGCCTCTACCTGGAGTCAGGGCCTGGGAGACAGACTGAGCACCAAGGCAGTGAGCACACATTACCCTAATCCATGGGAATCAGCCTGATTTGTTTTAACCATCTTCATTCATTTCCTTGGAACCTTGGCATTTCCTTCCCTATTCAATTTCTGAGTGTGGCACTTTGCTCTCTATAGTGTTAGCTCTGTGGGCTGGGGCATTTTGTGTCCTGCCTTATTTCCTGGATCTCATGGTCGGCACTTTCACATGTGCTCAAGGCCCCATCCTAAGCTGCTGCTTAGGTTTGTGTAAACCTCTGCATTAAAACTCTCACACATCTGCTCATTCACTTCAAGGTTGCATAGTATTTACTGATCTCTTACAGCAAAGTGGAAGGAAAAGAGCGAAGTTCAACGAAGTGAATATGCTGGTAATTGCAGGTKTGTAGTAAGCTCATAGTCCAGCTTTTGTAGCCATGGATTTAACTTTTCTGAAGCACAGTTCTGGGAGCCAGTGTTATGAGCAGATTTCAAGTTAAAWTTTTTTAAACTTCCAGCATGTATTYCTGYTGAATTACCCAAACTACTCTGTGCAGGAAGCAGGTAGAAAAATGAGATTTAAAAATATTTTTTCCATCTAGAAGTAATTGTAACTTGMGCACAATTGTGCTTTCATAGAATTGTGATCATGAATACTGTTTAAGTGCAATACCTAATGAAGGAGCGTTCTAATTGTGTTTATAAAGAACTGTTTTGGYACATAGGGTTGTTGACAGGCTTGTAGTGTTGTTGCTAGGTAATAATCAGGGTATCTGTGCTGATTATRGGATTAGGCTCAAAGGACAAATGTCTTTGATTCATGAGGTAGATCTGCTTTGTGGGTGAARCCTGGTCAGCCTGTAGAAGGCTTGTGTTGTCCTCCGCTACCTAGCCAGGATGTTTCCATCCTCTGGCAGCTTTTTGCAAAGTCATTTTTGGAAAGAACAGCAAGGGATTCTGCACACCCAACTTCCTTTCCAAATAGTCTTTGTGGTACAGAATGAACAAGGTAGTGCAGACCAGGAAAGATGCATGTAAAGATGAAGGGTTTTATCACTGAGTGCCAAATGCTCTGTTTACAGTTGAAATCACATAGAATAGCTCATTAAAATCAATATTGATTTGTAAGAGATTCTTTAAATGAGAAAAGTACAAAAGTTTCCCATAAAGGGTTAACAGTTTAGCTGTTGTTAGCATATCAAATAATCCTATAAGAATTAGGGACGGTAAGGTATTTGAATGGTGTAAGGCCATTAGTTTCTGGCACAGCACAAGTGATGTACAGAGGAGATAKAGCAGTGATTATCTGCAGTTCTTTTATTTCAGATATTACCACCTTCCTGGCATAGCTTTTGTCCTCTCTGGTGGTGAAACTTGTCACCCTGTTCTAGAGAGGGATGGCCAAGGGCTGTGTGGCTGGACCCAAGCACCAGCGTTGGGACTGCCCAGAAGCACCAGGTWAAAAAAAAATGCACAGAGGAAAAGACACAACTGTTAGGAAGGCCRTGGGATGGAGGTCAGTGCACAGCTGGTGCCTCCCTCCGTGAAGGCCAAGGATAAAAGTGAGCTTGCAAAAAGAGTTTCCATTAATATGTTTTAAAATAGTCACTAAGGAGGCTCAGGCACCACAGCTGGATGTTGGTGGAGACCTGCAGTGCCACTGTTGCCTCCTTGATGGAGGTGACATCCTAAAGGTTGATGCTCTTTGGCACTTTTCCACAAAAAGTAAGAAAGAATAAATTTGACAAGTAATACAATGATGTAACTTCAGTAAATTAATATTTGCTTTGGCTGCATGTTGTTGATTCCCTGTAAAAAATGTGAAAAACTTCAAGTGGCTTTAGGAGCACTGCAGCAACCCCTGGAATTCTGGCACAATAGGGCAGACTGGGTTGTGTAAACTTTAATCAGGGCTTGGGAAGCTAAACCAYACTGATAAATAAAACATGTCAGCAGCCTCACCCAACTTGTTGCTATTCCAGTTCTGTGCATGTTAGTGATTCAGAAGGTTGAGACTTACCATGCAAACACACCTGAAATGAACTTGAAAAATAGCTTTGTCTTTATCTGGTATTGAAAGAACTTTAAAAGAGAAACTTCCCTCTGCCTGCTGAGTGTGTAGGGATTAGTTATTTCATGATTTTGAAATGCCTGGTGCATTCCTATATTTGAGGTGTTTGCTGATTTTTAAATGGAATTACATTTTGTAAATATTTCTTCAGCCCCGTTTCAGTGGGTATCCAGTTTCTATAAAACCTGRAGAAATACTGTGTCAAACCCCTGTGTTTAGCCATGGTTTATCCTATAGCATTTCCAGCACTAACAGCAATTACAGTWTGAGAGAGCAGGGAGTGATTCCTTAGGGTTGTTTTTCCAGTTAACATTGCACGTGCTTTGCTACTTTTAACATGGAAATACAATTTCCTCCAAGTACATTTTCCAGCATAAAAAATGAAATAATTTGTGGTGCCAAACATTTCAAACTATGTTGCTAAGCATTGCCTCCTCTTATTGCACTAGCTTTAAATTTCTGTTTTCAATCATTTACTGTCCTTTTGATGGCCTTTTTAACAGATTTTCCCCCAAACCATTTCTACTGCTGAAAAAATGCTTGTCCCCTTTAATTATATCACAGAAACCTCAAAGAAATTTAGCATAGACTGTGGGTGAAAGAAGCACTATATGGGGTGAAGTAATCAAAAGAATCAAATTTTGATATGTTTCAGAAATCAAAGATTAATTTATGATTGAGATGTGATTGTATATTCTTAYGGAGTGAAATACTGGAATATTCTTTTATAAGAAATTTTAACCCATGTAGTGTTAAATTCTGCAATTAAATCTATCTCTATAATTGATATATAATGATGTAAATTATTACCCAAAATTTAAATTTTACAGTTGAAGAGCACACAGTGAACTATGTAAAAGGATGATCTTCACTTTGTGAGTCATTTTTTAAAGAAGCACTTTCCTATTACCAACTAGCATGTGAATGAATTTTAGATTCTCTCATTTGTTATGATCTGTAGAAGTGAAATTTCTTCGATCTGTCTGTTAATGGGTAAATCCATCCTACAAATGCTGAAACAAAGCACCTTATACTATGCTGCTTAATCTTGCTTGTAATTGCACCTTTTGTTATCTGCCGAGTTTTCCTAATGAGTATCTTGTGTGAAATCATTGTTCCCTGTGGGTCTGGGGGACGATTAACCAACCTACAGCATCATTTACTTAGTTTCTCTTTCAATACAACATTGTATTGTGAGTTTAGTGCTTCAGAAATAAATGCTAATTTCATTTCTCTTCTTTGGTTGTGTATTGTTTATTTCTCTTGTACAAAATCAAATCAAGTCCATTATAAAATTGTAAGAATTTGAAAATTAAGAGTGTTTTTTCTATAAGCCTAATTCTTTCCTGCTAAAATAGACCCACTTCATATTTAACTATTATAAAGTAATTTGGGATTCAAAATAAACTGTATTTTAATTTAAGTCATTCTTTAACCTTGGGCATCTTTTTATGCGTAGCAGCTAACCTTGTTGCTTGTTGCTCTAATTATTTAATGTTTAATATGTACATATACCTTGGAGGAGCAGCAGCACAGRAACAATGAAACAGCACTTCTGCTGCTGTGGAAGTTGCACACCTTGCACTKGTTTTCTACTATGTGAACAAAGTTTCTTTTTCTGTAGGAGTTGTAATATCAAATTAACTTGAAACAAGTTATTGCTTCTTGAACAGACAGCAGCTCTTACCTTCGCTCAAGCTGACAAATGCACTTTAACAGCAAAATACATTCCAAAAAGTCATTTGAAACTTAGGTCAGCACCTGTACATWACTCCAGTTTAGAAGAACTTTATTGCATTTTGTACTGGAAAACCTGAGATCRTTCCATTTAAAGGAAGTGTAAAATTCTGTCATGAACACGAGGCCTAACTGAAAACTTGTCCTACGTAAGCAGTGGTCTTTTAAAGATGTCATTTGAAGTTGAATCCCTGGACTGGCAGTGCTTGCTGCGCACTGGGACTGTGTGTCCTGCACTCCAGTGCAATAGTCACTRCACTATTGCTGGACACTGAACCTTCTTCCATGGAGCAAAGCTCTGGAGATGTTTCCTTGTGTTGTCTGTGAGGATCCAGCCACAGAACATCCGAGTTCTGCTTATTTGCAGCCTGTTAAGTCGGCAGCTCATTAACAGATGACAATTCCTCCGCYTGATTTATCAGCTGGCTCTGTGCTTTCATTGTTGAATGGCATAAAGCAGAATTTCCAGCTGACAAATGGGTCTGTGCACCACACCTCTGTCAACTCCACGTCGTGGCACCGACACCAATAGGCTGCTGCCAGGAGAAAGCTGTTGATGAAGTACAGCCAGGGCACGTTCATCTCCACGTAGGCCGGGATCTGTACACCCAGGAACAGAACCACCACCTGGAGAACCACAAACGGTGCCCAAGTGCCAAGGAAACACAGGAGGAGCCTGGTCAGGAGCTGCCACTTAAAGCAAGTGTTGCTGTTGTTAGGGACGTAGGAGAACATCAGAGCAGGCTGGCTGGAAAAGGAGAAGAGCCTGGCAGAGAGCAGCATGGTTGTCACCTCCTTCCAGCGAGCCAGGAGTGCCATGCCCAGCAGCAGCACCATGGCACAGGACACTGAGTAACTCTGCAGGCTGCCAGAGACAAGGCACTGGTAAGGGGAAACACAGTTCTGGATTTCCAGCTCTTCAGACACAGCGGGAGCTTTGAGAGTGCAAAAAAACCCTGAAATCCATATAACCACCACAGCAAATACATAAAGTAACTTCTGCCCTCTTTTAGGGAGTTGGGATGTTTGGGAGACGGTGGTGTAATAATCCAGAGCAGCCACAAGATACACTGGGTAGTGCAAAATCCCATAGGTCAGAGAAGCAATCTGAGTGAAGAGGCAGATGTGGTACTTTGTGAATCTCACGCCCCAGAGYGCAAAATCCTCAAAATAGAAAATGAAACAGAGACTCAGCAGGAGTGTGAAATCGAGAAGTGCCACTGAAATGCAAAAACATCCCATAAAACTGACTTTCACAGGTTTTGGCCTAATTTGCAACATGAAGAAATTAAGGGAGACTTTTCCRAGCATTATCAGGACCAACATGTAGCTGATTTCAAGAGGTTGGCTGATGTGGGTRCAGTGGTGCTGACCAGAGCCGTTTTCATCGAGTTTGGCAGCCATCCTCCAGTGGTGGAAACAACAAAAATAAGTATCACAGGGCACAGTGCTTCATCTCTGAAAAGAAAATAAAATGGTAAAAATTTATTTCCTTGTTCTCTGCCAATAAGTTAATTCTCCATCATAGCAGCTATCCAATTTGTCTGAATTTTTCAGGCTCCTTAGTGAACAGTAAAGAGCTTCACTCACTCATAATTAAATTATCAACAACTGCCTATATTTTATGCTCTTTGAATTAGATCAACATAAATTGCTTTTCAAGAGTTTAGGAAATAAGCTTGACTGTGTTCCGCTCTTTTAGGAAGCATGGAGGGGATTTTCTGTCCAGCTGGGCAGAGGGATGGAGGTTTCAGAGGTCCTACATATTTTGAAGAAATTACAGGACAGAAATGATACAAGAAACTGTAGGAGATGCTGCAGCACAGCCTCACAATTCATTATGCTCATAGAATCTGTAGGAAATCGAGATTGCAGAAATATCTTGAAAGCAGAAAAAGCATCAATATAGCTCAATCTTTTTTTGGTGCAAAAATCCTGGAACTTCAAGGCAATCCAAAGCACAGGGACTTCATTAGTGATGGGACTTTTTTGTTCATCTCTAAGTACTACAATAACAGAGATCTCACAACAGCTGAAATTCCCTTCAGACTCCCAGAAGTTTCCTTACGATAACTCTTTCCCATTTGTTAATTCCTAAGGAAAATGAACATAGARTGGTTCTCTATGACATAGTGTTTGTYAGYSAGACATAACAGAGACAGCTTTGTCYAATTTCTTCTCTCTTTCCGTGAAGAAACAGGATGGTATCAGTGATCTCAGTGAGAGCAAAGAAGAGCTGAGGAACCATGGCAGGTGTAAAAAGGAATTGACTCTTAGACTCAGTATTAACAGGGACCTTGGGTTTAAGCAGACACTTGCATTTTGTTACGAGTCTGCCAGTCAGTAAAATTTGCGTTAGTGCACATTTGAGTTCGTGTGTCCTGAGAAGCAGGGTCAGAACAACTACGAGCCCTCGGCAGCACAACTTGAGAAGCATCCGTGGAGTTTGTTTACAAGCCTACCTGGGCTGGCTGCTTCACTCTTCATCTGCTCAAGTGCATCCTCTAAAACCTGATCCGTCTTTGCAGTGCGAATTAATTCCAGCATGCTTCGTCTTCGAGTACTGGACGCTGCAGAAAGGGAGAGGAGGGAACCTGCAYGCAAACGGRGTCCCGTTCGGTAAGAYAATGAYAGTAATAGTAGTAATAGTAATAGTAATRATAATTTCTATCTCGTAAGGCGGAATCACCTGTCCTGGGCCGTGCGGGCACAGCCCCCATCCTGCCATGAGSGACCCGCGGCTGCCGGCGCCTCCCGCTCCCCGTCCAAGGCGCTCCCGGCCGGGCTCCGCCGCTGCCCCCGGCCCTCCCGGCGGGTTCCTGCTCCTCTTCGGAGCGAGAGGGAGGGAGGAGGCCCGGGGGGCTCCCCCCGCCCGGCCCCGGCACCCACCTGCGACCGCCGCTCCGCGCTCCTGCCCGGCGGGGCCGCCACCTCCGCCCGCCCCAGCGCGGGGACCGGGCGGGACCGGGAGCGGGGGAGCGGCGGGGCGGGCTCGTGTCGGGGTGAGCAGGGCGTGACACATGTGACACATAACAGATATAACACATACAGCACATGTAACACATGTAACATAACATACATAACATATAACAGCTGTTACATGTAACATGTAACACATGTGTAACACATAACATATGACACATAACGTAACACGTAACACACAACAGATGTAACATAGCACATATAACATGTAGCACACATAACCAACATAACATATAAGGACATGTAACACATAGCACACATAAAACATGTAACACACATAGTACATATAACACAAAATAACCGCTCTGGGGAGCAGGTTCTGTGTGTTTTGTTTGATCTCCTGGCAGTGGGAGGTGAAGCAGCCACGCTGTACCCCCGAGGGCAGCACAGTGGGATGCTCAGATACTTATAAAAGTGGCAGGTCAATATTTTGGGTTCTAAATGTGTTTTGTGTGTGTGAAAAAAGGTAGGTGTGAAAAAGTGAGGCATAAGCATGCTTCAGCAGGGGCCCTCAGGTCCCCCAGGACTTGGCTGTCTGGCAGCGAGCACAGGGTGCTCTCTTTGGGAAGCCCTGTGCCCACATGGTGGGTATTGTTTGATGTATCYCTGTCTACAAAAGTATCAAGTGGCTGGCAGGACTTAACTCTGAAATTGAAGTCAGATGCAAGTTGTGATTTCCACCCCCTATTTTTCTTTCCCCTCTCCCCTTCCTTCTTCTTCCATGGTTCATCTTAAGGACTAAATAACTTCAGGGGGGAAAATGTTTTGAGGGACTTGTTTTTTGGGGCTTTTTTTGGGG